TAGAATGATATCCAAGAGTGTTCGTTTTCCTTTGTGTTCAACAGAAGTTCTCAGAGTTCCAAAGAGTTTCTCGTAGGTATTGCGCTTGCGCTTCCAGTTTCTATGAGATTGGATTGCTAAAAGCAGTTCGTTAGTGGTCGGCGACATCGTCCTCTGGGAGCAATTTGTTGGGCAAGCGTTCAGCTGTCTCGAAATTTCCGTCCCAGACGGGCCGCAGCATTGTGACTGATTTCAGCAATTGTCGTGTAAGGGAATGCAATTCCCATGCACTTGACGATGTTGGGAATGATTCAGTCATTTCAATTTGTGTGTAAGCAGAAAATAGTCCAAATATTAAATCATCCAAATAGTCCAAATATTAGTCATACATTTATTTTTGTGAAGCCACGCAGTAGTCCCAGTAGTTGAGCACTACCGCAGGTATCATTCTATTTTATCAGCACAATTTCCAACCTTCGAATATTTCGATTCATGCATGTGTTGTGGTGTATAGCATTTTCAAGGAATCCTAGCGAAGCTGTAGCTGATCTGCGCAGCTCGACATTTCTTCTCTACAACATTGAAAAAAGGTTCTGGAAATACCTTTTCATGAGATGAAGATATTTTTCGGCCTTTGATAACCCTGTGAGAAATAGCCCAAAAAATTACAATGAGAACTTCAACAATCAATTCTGTTGTAGCCGTATTGTGGGAATATTTGCGTCTTTAAACCTTTTTCCATTAATAAGAATAATCTATCAACAATCGTATCAGTAATGAGGATACACTATTGCTCTTGTTCTTCCGGTCAGGAGACAGATGTTAGCAACTTTGTAAAATAAGAAATCAATAACTAAATACAATAGATAAAAGTAAAACACTTTCTTCGCTTTGGAAAAGGTTGTTACACGGCGGAAAGATATTTCTACCAGTCTGGCTTCCGCCTAAGCGCACGTGCTAAAAGGAAGTCCATTTACCTTATTGTTCTTCCTCCCTTCAATGTTTTCAAGCTTAATGTTTTTGCTGCGATCTAACTATTTCCTTTCGCAATCAATTCCATAAGTCATCAGTTGAAATCCTTTCCGAGTTCTGTTGCGCTGTTTATCAACAAGTTTGAGACCCATCAATCAGGTATTTGGCGCTTGGTAGCCGATTGTGACATGTTTGATATGAAATAGAATGAACTTTCATGTACCCCTGCCTCTCTTAATCCCAAGAGAATGTGCGATAGGCGCAAACGCGCCAGGCCTGAGCAATTCATATGTCTGGCAAAGCCGTCATTTTCCACGTGGTTTCCCTACAAAAAGAGCAGGGAATAAGCTCTACGATCAGGAAAGGTCTTAGAAAGAGCTAGTGAGCCAAACTCTAGCGCGTGAACTTGTTTTTAACTTGGTATAATTTCAGAATGCTTTTTTCTACCTGTACTTGATCTACAGTTTTACAAATCTGATTACGTTGTCAGAGAAGCTCGGAGATCTAGGTGGTGTCACACACAGGTGGGTTCTTTGTCATTATATTTTAACTGCTGTCGTTTTTTTTGTAGTGGTATCAGTTCTTTGTGGACGTGAAATGATAAAAATTTGACCATTATGAGGGGGTAGCAGCATTTTGACTCGACTCGCTTTCATAAGGCTGGTGTCAGAGTCCGCGATCCGTCGCAGGTTTCGCTGATTTTCGCGATTTCGCGATTTGCGCGATTCACGGAAATCACAAGTGCCCGATCAATACTGCAAGGTGTTCTCCAATCCTGCCGCCACTTCTGCTTGATAGTGATGGCTGAATGACGACTGCTCATGATTCCACTTGTTTCATATTCAGTGTTTCAAATGTTCACACACTTGCAATTTTTTCGCGCAAATCGCGTGAATCGCGAAAATCAGCGAAACCTGCGACGGATCGCGGACTCTGACATCCAGCCTAAGGGTTGGTGTGTAGATGTGTAGCAAATGCAGTTTAGGACAGTCCTCCTTTTTCGCTACGCAAGACCGTCAGAGGGGTTCTAAGCAGGATCATGGGGGACACTCATTTTCTGACATGTTGACCCATTTGTGACTCACCTGTAAGGCGCCAAACTAAGAACTGAATGATTTTGCCTAGAGGAAGCCGAAATCGAACCATTGATGGACTCCTCACTGCTTCTTGGCGAAAGACACTTGACTCCCACGCTCGTCCCTGCGTATGACGAAGAATCGTTATGAAAAAAATCGGTATTCGTTTGACGATCTCTGGAATCAACCGACTCCTGCGTGAAAAACTACTGCGAAAGCCTAAGGGTTCTTGGAGAAACGTAGCATGCGGTAGGGTGAAAGGTCGGGACAGAGCTCTTTGCGGCAAGAGCGAAACATTTTAGCGGAGTGTTGGAGAGCTCGTGGCCCTCAGATTCAAATCAAATAGCTACGGGCAGACTTAGATACTAGTTAATTTCAGGCAGTTCACCTTCTAATTGCCTACGCCATAGAATTCAACAACTAGTTGTTTTTTTAGGTTGTTGAAATTGACATGAAAGAGTACTCAGTTTACCGGAAAGCATCAATTTTCCTTGTTATCGAATCAATTCAGGGTGATTGAGCTTGTGGAGGAGTTACGTCGCCTGCACTCAGATTGCTTGGAAACTGACCGACCACCGTCGACAGTTCCATCAAGTGTTGTTGTCATTGGAACAGACGACGAGGAGAAAACGGTCACGAATAGAACGTTTGGTATAACATTGTCGGTTTCTAATTTGTATGGGGTTAGGTAATTGTAGAACATACCTACCTTTGCGTAAGAGGGTCAAGTCAGATTTAACGAGGTACACTGTGTAGATGGTCAGATAAGCGACTCAGGTCACTTTCTCTGAGGCTTTCTCACCGGGCTTCGGCGTAGCATCTGCCCCCACTTTAAATATGCGATCCCTCTCTTCTTCCCCTCGCATCCCACTCCGACTTAATTGTGGCGATAGTGTTACTGGACTTGGGTTCAACCTAATATATTTCCAACCCAACTCCGTCCACCAAAGATTGCAACTAGCCGCAATGGAAGAGTGGCACGTAAAATTTCCAAGATTTTTGTATTTCTGTGAATTTCTCTCAATTTTTTTCTACCTCTTCGAGATCCACATCTTATCATGTCTTCCTCACTTGCGACCTTTTTTTTTCGTCAAGTGTGACAACCTTCATAAAGAACCCTCATTGTGTAACCCGCACCGAAGAGATCGTGAACCCTAATGCTTAACATTTTCTCATCAATGCCTTTCCTTTATTTCTCCTATCGAGTTGATTTCCCTGCAATTGGTTTACCTGGAGTTGGTTCAGATTGAGGAACTTCATGGAAAGCAACTCTCGCTGGAGCGCGATTGCGATGATGAGGAAGAAGCCCAATTCCTTCTGGGTAATCAGTTTTCTTGAGTAGTGCTGTAATCTATTTTACTGCAATTAATGATGATTTTAAAGGAAACAAGTCCGATCGTGATGAGGAATGGCCAGATGACGGTGTTGCGATGACGATTGATTCAGCTACACTAGCTCCTCCTACTGATGCTCAGAATACCATTATTGCAAGTATGTTCTTGTTGCAATATTGCCCTAATTTGAAGTTCAGAAAAAATAGAAGATACATTTCATTTTGTATGGCCATACTTTGGGACCTGGCAAACATTTTGTGCATTCACTAGCTGCTTTTGGTGCGAATTCAGAAATTTTTATTTTTTTTTGAAAGCTCAGTTAATTTCGACCAAAATTGCCATGGTTGCAGATTTGTCGGTGCAGCTAATCCAAGGTCAGAATGTTCTAATCACGGGTGATAGTGGTTGTGGAAAGACCTCTCTGCTGCGAATGTTTGCAGGATTGTGGAATAATGTGTCAGGTGGGTGTTAACATTTCTTTCATTAGTAAGTTATCGTTATGAGTTATATTCAATTTTTTTCATTTTTTCCCGCTGTTCTATTTCTTCTTTGTTTTGATACTTAGGAAAAAGTGGCGTGTTTTTGTAGGTAAAGTGGATCGCCATTGGCGAGTACGCCCACAAAACCTGCTATTCGTGCCTCAGAAGGCATACTTTCCTTCCGGAGGAATCACTCTGCGACAGCAACTTGTATATCCTCTCAAAGCTCTTCCAGTAGAAAAGGGCAAGTTTAATGAAATCATTGATGGTTGTGAAAGTGTTGGCATCGAGAAAAGCCATGTTCGATTTTTTTGTGTATATTGTTGTATGTGAATATATTTTATATAATATATCTTGCAAGGGTTCATGCATTCTATTGTTTTTTTTTTAGATTTGACAAGATTAACACAAATCTTGGAGTGGGTGAAAATGGAGCACTTGATGGAGAGATGTCAAGGTTTTGACGCACCTGTCGACTGGGACTGGTAAGAGTAGTAATCGGTCTTCAACAATTCACATTCTATGATGTAAAATGTTTTGTTAGGAGAAAGTGTAATTTTCAGGAATGAAGCTTTATCACCTGGCGAATTACAGCGGTTATCATTGGCTCGAGTTTTCTACACAAAGCCACGGATCGCTTTTCTTGATGAGGCAACGAGTGCGATTGGATTCGAGCTAGAAATGCAGCTGTATAGAAAACTACAGGAGGTAGAGGAGTTTCAAAGTACTGTTCCTGAAAGAACTTTGGTCCACATCGTGAGATTGAAGAAGTATCGTTTCCTGAGAGGACTTTCAAAATTTCATTCGAA